GGGGGGGGGGGGGGGGGGGGGGGGGGGGGGGGGGGGGGGGGGGGGGGGGGGGGGGGGGGGGGGGGGGGGGACCTGCGAGGAGACGCTACGTGCATGCTCGCAATTTGCGGCCGCTGTCACCGGTTCATCGCGAGGATAGAAGCGCAAAGGACCAGCAGAGCGGGCGGAACTCCAACACGCCTCAAAGCAGTGCTCGGTGGCAGGCATGCGTACCCTCTCGGTGTTCGGGAGAGTGGAACTTGCGCCCACGCAGCGAGCGATCGGTGAACGAGCACCCGCGACACTCCGCATCACCGGTTGCTTGAGGCTGAGACACCCCTGGCACGAAGAGGCATCGAGATAGCGCAGGGGCACTGTGTCGCGGATGTTCGGTGTTTCCGTTTGCTTTCCTTTGAGAGATCGGTGACGAGCACCCGCGACACGGGTGCTGTCTAGCCGCAGCGCCGCCCAGGCTGGAGGGTGTGGTTCATCGCGTCGCTTCTCCTACGGATTACTCTCATTAAATTAAGCTGAATTTATCTGGGCTGGAGATGTTCTTGTTCCATTAGTGTAGAGGTTATCACCCGGGCCTTTGAAGCCCGTGACACAGGTTCGATCCCTGTATGGAACTTTTGTTTTCCTTGCCTTCTTTTGCCCTTTCATCGTTCCTGCTGTCCTCCCCTACGGCTCCTCCGGGAACAGACGTCCTACATTTACTACAAATCCTTTCCATTTTACACTAACTAAGTATAGTAACGACTAACGTTCATTTGCGAATCCGGTGAGCTTTGTAGTTAGTTGGTTAGTTAGTATGACCCTTCAACACACCCGCCAACGCCCTAGGCGGTGAGGGAGGTGGCTTTTATTATATCTGCAGTGGGAAGGGGCGTTCAACCCCCCTGAGCAGCAATCAGCCTTGATGAAGATGGCTACACTGTGTGAGTGCTCGACTGGTAGCCACACGACGACGCAGCCCACGATGCGCCGCCTGTTAGTGAGTGACAAGGGTGGACTCGACTTTTAGCTTTAGCCCCCGGGAGAGCCCGGCCAGCTAGACAAATAAACAATTTATACCCTCTTTCAAGTTTTTTGGTTCTTTTAATTAAAAAAAGTGGGCGTTAATCAAATGTGTGCAGGCTTAAAAAACGCGCTCGTGCTAACGCTTCTATGAGCGGACACGGTGGTTCGCACCTCAGACGGCCACAGCCCCGCCGCCATACAGTCGGCCTACGGCTGACTGCCAAAAGAATCAAGTTTTCAAACTAATAAAGTAGTGACCGTATCATCCGCATACAGCTAGTCCGGTCCATCCTTGGTTACTAAGTGATATGGGCGAGCTTTGTAGTTGTATACTAACTAGACAGCCACGTGATCAAGTCAAACTGACATTAAAGCAACGCTTAATAGTCTGTACTAGGCCCGCCGAACTCCATGTCGAGCGCGTCGCCCTCGGGTGCACCCGCCCTGGTATTCGCTGGCAGTGCGCCGCCACTGAGCAGCCGCGCCTCGCGCCGCTGCGACAGCTCGTCTGCGATCTCGACGACGCGGCCGAGGTGGTACGCCGTTTTTGCGAGGCGCGACTCGACGAGGGTGTAGAGGTCGGGCGCACGGCGAATGACACCGTCGACAATCGTGTAGATCGCCATCGGCTGCGTCGTCTGCCGGTTGGTCCGGCGCACCTTTTGGATGACGTAGACGCGGTGCGCGCCCGCCTCGAGCGAGAGCGAGGGCAGCGGCTCGAACTGGTGGCCCTGCAGCCCGCGCAGCGCTGTATATATAATATGTAAAGGGGGGGGGG